TGCGCCAAGCGGGTTGAGTGTGAGTGCTGGTGGTGTCGGGTGTGGGTGAAGGAAAGAAACCCACAACACATCCACACCCTCAGTATTAGAAACAAATTATTAGAAAAACAAGAGAAATGATACACGTTTCTATTGTTGTACAAAAACATAAAGTACTGACATCATACTGGTTTTTTTAAATCTCCTATAGAAAAGCAAATCAAAAATATTTTTTATCAATTACTTCGAATTCATAACAACTTTACTTTCATCAACGTTCAACAACATATAAAATACGTAGATGATGAATCGTTTTGATGATGATATCGATACTTCATTTAAGAGGCTTCGACCTGTTTATGCTTATCGCAGTGAAAAACTTGTTCCAATTGAAAAAGCACTTGAACCTATCGAGTCTCAAATTGATGAATTACCTTATTACATAAAGATAGCTAAACGACACTGTCACTTTCCATCAGAACATGGACTAACACATGATCAATCAGCTGCTGTTTACATCTATACTATGGAATGGGGTGATACTACTTTGAATCGTGTATTAAATAGAGCATTACGATGCGAAAATCGCCAAGCATTAAAGGTATGGTTTCCCTATCTCAAGTTATTTGATACAGCATTGGATATATTACCTACTGTCAAAGAAGTAGTATGGAGAGGTGTACCACTTAATATTGGCATGAACTTTACCAAAAATCAAATTGTAACATGGTGGAGTGTTAATTCATGTTCATCGTCAGTGAATGTTATCAAAGATTTGCTTGGCAATAAAAAAGATTCAACGCTTTTTCTAATTGAAGCTGTTAGTGGAAAAAAGGTTTCTGGATATACAGAAGATGAAAAAGAAGATGAAGTTATTTTACGAATAGGTTCACAATTTCGCGTGAAGAGTGATCAATTAGATAAATCGAACGATTCACACCTTGTGCATTTAATTGAAATTGATGACAACAATGATCAACCATTAGCATCGGCTATGAATGACATGAAACCGGCAGCAGCAGCACAACCATCAATGAAAACTACATCGAGTAAGTTATTTCAACTTTGTCTCAATGCAATAACATTTTGTATGATACATATGTACAAAATAATTCAACAAACATCTGAATAATGATTAGTATATATATGATTAAGACAGAAATTAGGTAATTATCTAAAATTATTTAATCAATACAAAGAATTTGGTAATAATGAAATCTAGGCAAATATGAAACAATGCTTAATTTTGTTGGAATAAATCTTTTACAAGAATTGTTTTCATTAAGAAAAAAGTGTTCGATAGAATTTTACTGTTTTAACATTCTAAGATAATTTGACCAGCCTGCGGATTCAAGATCGAATTGTCCTAGAAAATTAGAGCTTTCGTCAAAACCTAGTTGAATTAAGTCTGAGTTTTGTCAAAAGATATTGTCTTGAATCATTTTAAATCTATTAATTAAGTTGCGCCAGACTTTCTGAAACCTTTGTTCGTAAAAGGGTTCGACAACATACAGATGAGAGTAAGATTAAGAGAATCCTTTTGATTGCAACTCTCAACCTTTCACATACATACTCATTATCGCTTACAGATTCTTAAACTTTTTGAATTTTCAGACACTCGGTGTGGGTGCGAGTGAAAAGAAGACTCACCTGCATCCAACTAAGAAAACATTTAATATCGTTTTATAGCATAATGAAAACATCTTGATCTATTTCTCATAAAATAAGAGTACAATAGAATATGAACTGAAGATTTTTCAATCTAGCTAAAGAAAAAAAAGTAAGACATTGTATAATAAGATCGAGAAATGTTATAACAAATAAACATACTCCTTTGATCACTGTATAAAAGAAATCGAATAAACATGTTAAATTCATCCCAATGTGCAGTCACTTAGTGATCTATGATGAAAAAATCAATAGAAACGATATTTATTTATTTAGAAGATTATTCACATTACTTTGTAGCTTTTTCTTTTATTGTACTCCGCTATCAATGTGACAACTTGCATTGTAATTGAGGATTTTACATTAACGAATGAAATCACAACCAATTTTGAATAAGTTATTTCAAAAAAAAATTCTATTTACTGGAGAAGTTGACAGTTACAAATAGATATGCGTTTGATTTGTTTTTGCTCAAGTCGTATGAAGAACTTAGTATAAAATGAAAGGAGACAAAACAGACACATTATTAAAACCTTTTTTTTTCATTTGTTTCCTTTCATTACATGACTTTCCTTTATGCTTAAATTTCAATACATTTCGATGCATTTTCATGTCATGAGTTGTCTAATTCGAGTTCGAATATAAATGGAGAGCTAAGTAACTACTAGCACTTCGAAAATAAACGAAAAACGGCACCCATGTCGAATTAGAAAAAGATAGAAAAAGATTTATTTTTATATAATTTATAAATTCAAATACATATACAAGTCAAAGTAGACACTTGAATTCAATTCAGTTTTCATCTTTTAAGTTTCAACTGAGAGCTTTGAATTGATTTGAGAGTCGCTTTTCTCCGCATAACACACTTTTATTTTCAGCGTCGCGGCGTGGGGGCACGAAGCGCTCCCCGAAGAGTCGCGATCCATCCACGTCTCTATGTACACGACTATTGCACCTCAGTGCCGCATGATCGCTGAAAATTCTCACATACCTGTTTTAACGTCCCAGAGAAAGTATGAAGCATCTCAACTGTAATCTGCAGCATCCAGAGTGATGCTTCTCGCATCTTAGGTGAAGCTTGTACCATCTTACGTGATACGTGTAGCATCTCATGTGATGCTTGTAGCGCCTTAGGTAATGCTTGTAACATCTCAGGTGTTGCTTGTAGCATCTTGCGTGGAATTCGATGTCTGTTCGAATTATGAATTATATAAAAATTTAATCTTTTTCTATCTTTTTCTAATTTGACATGGGTGCCTATTTGAATTATAAATTATATATAATTTAATCTTATTTTATCTTTTGCTACTTTCACGAGTGTGTGCATGAGAGAAAAAATGTTCTTTTGCTTTTCGGATGTGAAGTGATGAAAGTGATATTTTTTCTCATTTATTTTTGAATTCGAATTAGACAGCTACTCATCCGATGATAATGAAACACGAAACAAAGCAACAGAAAATGTTTTACAATATGTTAATCAATTTCGACAACCTGATGATGATGATGATAATGTTGAAGAAGAAGACGAAACGCATGATGATGATCAACAAGCAGATCAATTCAATGGATCACAACAACCTGTATTAACCCCTCCTAATCCAGTAACAATATTTTTATTTTTAATTTAATCATCAAAATAAATAGATTTAATTTGTTAGAAATTCAGTGAATTTAGTATCAAAAATAGAGATGTCAGTTGATGCATCGATCGATGGCTAAAATTTTATAATGAAAAAGAGAAATCGATGATAGAAAATTTATTGACAAGAAATCAGACAGTCACATCTTCAAAAAACTCTTTTAAGATGTCGACAGTTTTTTAAAAATCAAAAATTCATTTTTGTACTATGTTGGTGTTATTTTATAGCAATTCCTTCTTTTCCTTAACCGGTTTCATAAGAGTCCTCGAGTAACTAATCATAGACATGATCTGTCAAGCTCCGCAATAGTTTAAAAGTGCAGATAGATCGATCAGGTATCTATTCATTATTTTTGATTAATTGAGTCACTTTCACAATGATTGAATGAAAACAATATAAAAAGTGACGCATTTGTTTTATTGCATATACTATTTTTCTATTTATCTAGTCAAAATAATGTCAATGTATTATTATAGTTTCAGTTCTTTATTAAATTTATTTCTATAAACATAAGATAATACTAAATTCTTGCACGAAATAACAAATTAAAACAAAGAAACAATCATAATAAATTTTTTTTTTCATATAAGAAAGACCTCAATTAGCGTCATGATTTTGTTTTTACTATGTTAGTTCTGTTTCGCATAATTGAAAAAATACAGGGTGTCCCAAAAGTCTCTTCCACTTAAATTTTTCGTTTATCTTTACTATTTGATTTAACTTCATCAACTTATTTTTTTTTAAATGATAGATGGATGCACCAAGTTTTTTTTTTATACGAACAAATTTCACAAGTACTCTTCTAAGATATCATCTTTCAGCGAAACACAAAAAAATAGACTTTTTTTAATTTCCCGAAAAATAACGGGTACGGTAGGTTGAATGGCCGCGCTTTGTATTTCACTTTTCATTCACTTAATACATTGTATTAAAAAAACAAAATATACCACAAGATGCAGCGTGATAAGCTCTACAATTTACATAAGACTGCTTATTTTAGATATAAAATAAGTAACAAGGAATTTCGTTAGTGTAGAAAAAGATGACATTTTCGTGACGAGGAAAATTGATCGCACAGAGTTTTGGACACAAAAGGTGCATATATAAAATAAGCTGTTCTTTGTAAATTGTAGAGCTTTTCACGCTGCATCTTACGGTATATTTTGTTTTTTTAATATAATGTATTAAGTGAATGAAAATTGAAATACAAAGCGCGGCCATTCAACCTACCGTACCCGTTATTTTTCGGGAAATTAAAAAAAGTCTATTTTTTTGTGTTTCGCTGAAAGATGATATCTTAGAAGAGTACTTGCGAAATTTGTTCGCATAAAAGGAAGCTTGGCGCATCCATCTATCATTTATAAAACATAAGTTGATGAAGTTAAATCGAATAGTAAAGATAAACGATACTTTAAGTGGAAGAGATTTTCGGGACACCTTGTATAATCATGATAGCAAAAACAACATACGATTAGACATAAAGGAAATGTAGAGAATCGGTAACATATATAATAATAGACAAAAAGATTTTACAATTTGAAAATCAAATTTCACAATAATATGAGTTCAATATTTACTCTTCATTTATGTTGATTCTAGACATATGCTACTGTCAGTCAATATGAGTTCGGTTCTAGCATTTGTTGATAAAATCGAAGAATAACAATCAGATGATGCATCAACATTTGATGCTCAAAAGTTAAGAGCCTCTCTCATGTTGATTCGATCAAAATGAAATAATTGCTGTGTATAAGATCATTTCATTCTGTAAGTTTACTATCGACATGAAACGTTTGCAGCTATACTATTACGATCTGAATCATATTTTATTTCCAATGTAGAATATAAATGTCAATTCTTGAAAATTTATTATTTATTTTTCAATTTTAAATAAGTATTATTCGAGAACATTATTCTATTTCTAGTCGCCACCTACCGTTACACCTCTCTTATCAACAGCTGTACCTCCTTCAATACAACAAGTAGCACCACCTGTTAAATCTCAAGCACCATCATTACCACACCCACACTCTACACCCTCGATAGATGATATCGGTGATATTAAACCAGACACACTTGTTGAATATAGGAAATTGTCAAGAGAAGCTCAGCAATATGAACAACTTTATTCAACAATAGATTCTACACGTAAAAAACAATTAGGATCTTGTATAAAAAATATTATGAATAAATTACGTAAAGAAACATTTCAAACATCAACAATTGAATTATTTGACTTTTTATGTGGACAAGGAACAGAAGTCAGTAATCAAAGTATTCGTATATCAAATGAAGAAGGTAATAATTTTTTCTAAATAATTTATTTTATTTTATAATATATTTGAATATAGAACGTTTATTATGTTTATCTATGCTTGCAACACTTATTCTTGCACAATTACCTGGTCGTGGTTTAACTGATATAAAAACAGAAATTTTCTTACCATTAATTGGTATTCTTAGTCAAAACCAACGAAATCAAGAATTTCGTATTATTTTTCTTGATCATTTACATAAAAAATGTCCATATACAGTACCATTCTATCCAAAACGACAACCAAATATGAATGATAAACAATATTTAGAGTAAATATATATATATCAAATATGTTAATATATTTTGAAAGTTATGTTTCTTTTTCGTTTTTTAAAAGAGTTATAGGTTATATTGAAAAACAAGATGATGAACAACGTCGTTTAGAAACTGAAACTGAATTTCTTACTCGAATGAATGGACTTGTTCGATTATTTTGTAAATTACTTGTTAGTCATGGTCCACCATTTGATAAAGATTTAACATTTGCATGGAAATGGTTGTCTGATGTTTTAAATTTACCACCGAAACCAAATATAACATCAGTTTTAATATGTGTTTTTCTTGAAGAAGCCGGTGAAATTATGATGAAAGTATATTCAACACAATTTCCAAAAATAATTAAAGCTATTCAAACACATTATGTACCACGTTTAGAAAAGAAAACAAGTGATGATCAAATTACAAGACTTCGTTTAGTTTTAGATAAGCTTCACAAATAAATCATTATGAAATTTATACATCGTATATCGTTAGTCTGATATAAAGATTAATAAATAAAAATTTTCGTACTGTAAACAACTATGAAAAATTTTATATTTTTAAATCGAGAACAATAAAATGAAGTTTGCTGTTGATATACTTCTTCACTTATGAAAGCAGACATCTATTATAGAAAATAATGATATTTTGGGTGTGGGTGTGGGTGTGCGGGTATGGGTGTGGGTGTGGGTGTAGGTGTGGGCGTGAGTTGGTCTGGGATGTGGGTATGAGTGTGGAGATAGGTGTTGAATAACTTAAGGTACACTCACACCCACACCCTCTATTCTCATAACGAAATATTCGATAAAAAATAGACTCGTATTAGAAAAGAATTTATCCAAAACTGTTGCGAACTAAATACTTCATCGGAAAACAATTGTATTTATTCAGTTTGAGATGCGTATCATATGCCAATATTTGAGTACTTATAGGAAAAACTATGCATTTATATGCAAAACATTCAAAGAGTTTTCTTGTCTCTCGCTACATACCTGTTATTCCAAGGATAGCTATATTTACGTATGAAATACATATTTGATGGAAGAAAAACTCAGCACATGTATTTTTATAAATATACATTTTTCTTTATTTCCATTAACTACCGATCAAAAAAAAAGGAATTCTATAAAAAAATTAATTTTTATCTCGTGTTAACGAAAACCTAAACTTTTGAATGAACGCTTGTCTTTAGCACATTATTGCATTACAATATATTTAATCGTGAGAACTCGTTCTTTACGGTCAAATTTCGAAAAAAATACACGCTCTAACAGGCTGAAGGTCAGTTAACGTATTTCAACTAGTTGCCAAAATCGTGTAATACCGTCGTTGTAACGATAATATTTCGTTTAAACGGGTTTCTTTTACAGGTCTTGTCTATGTGGGCAGTGATTTCATAGATGAAGAAGCAGCTTTTCGATCATGCTTCAGTTTCAGTAGCATCATGCAGAATGAATGGAATCATTTAGGATAAAAGAAATCATTCAGCATGAAAGGAATCATTCAGAATGAATAGAATCATATAAGATCAATGAAATCATGGAATGAGCTCTTCCCTTGAGCGATACAGTACTTGTGTCGTAATTCAATTGCAATCGAAAACATAAGCAATAAGGTTTTATTCAACCGCCTGATTCATACATATTTACGTTATGAAAATTTTCATGTTTCATACTTGATGCTACACTAAACTCTAACCGTGCATAAGATCAAGGAACTGGGTAGCTATGGGACTGAATAACACTACACGAATCTAATCTAGGACATGAAGGTTGAAGGACTTTTCAAATAAACTCTATAAGAAACTTATCAATATTTATCAGCATATGATTTTTCTAAAATTCTTTTTGCTGTTGCCCCTAAACATCCTAATGTATATTTTATGAATCAGAAGCTCGAAATTGTATAAGTTTAAATATTTAGGGATTGAGATAAGAAATAAATTAGACTGGAGTACTTGTATACATGCACGAATATTAAAAATAAAAAATATCTACTCCGGGCTTCGTAAACTCTATCGCAATATCCCTAAAAATGACATTGAAACACGACGATTACTATTTTTTACATACGCATTACCTCATTATATATGGCTATTCATTCTATGGTTCTTTTTTACGGAAAATCAGAAAAGAGAAATTGAACACATTTATACAACTGGTATCAAATTAGTATATTCATTATGGGGTTGGGACGATCACATCACACTTATACTAGCTAAAGAAAAAGGGTGCGGGTGTGGGATGTGGCTGGGGTTGAAGACGAGACCCACACCCACACCCCTATGTTATGGTTATCTATCCAACTACTAATGTTTTATTCTTTTTCTCTATCGAATAGATCATTTTTATTGTTTATTCAATTATCTGAATGTCTTATTTCGTGTTTTTCTATATAATTAATGATAGAAAAACAAAGTTTTGATTTTATTTTTTTTTTTTTTTTTTTTTTTAAATAAATATTAGAAAAAAAAGAAGATAGATTTGAGTCATTTCCAATGTAAATACATAACATTGAGTAAACGTTTAATTGTAAAATTTGAAAGTAATTTTTCATATTTGATCATATCTTGAATATTTTGAACAATTTGATCATCTAATATTGGAAATTGAAAACATAATGCATGAAGATAATGATTATTAAATCGATTAATTTTCTTGAAAATAATTCGTAAAAATGCTTGAATATCCATAAAATTTATCTGTTCAATTTTAAAATATTCCATATAAGGACAAAGTGTAAAAAGAAAATCAATTTGTTTAAAATGATTAATTTCTTCCAAATAGACTTTGGTAATTTGACTTGTTTCTTTCATTGAACATAAAATAAAAACTTCATTAGCAGTTAATTCAGATGTTTCATCTATTGATAATGAATGAAGTTTTAATGTAGTTAAATCTGGTAAAAGATTAATTAGTTGAATTAATAGATCAATGGAGATATTTTTTTCAAGAATTTCTAAATAATAGATTTGTGTTATTGTTAAAATATATTGAATTTTTTTGAATATCGTTTCTATGAATGTATATTGAAGAAAAGATTCGAATGTTAAACAATTAACTGTCGAATGTTCAATATTATATTTAGGATAATGATACCATCTATTACTAAAAAAAAAATCAAGAAAACTTTTTTTATTTTCTCGAAAAATAAATTTGTGTTGTACCTGAATGGACGAATTGTATATTGAATATATGGATAATTAATTTCAACTTCAAATAACCATTTTCGTTCAATCCAAAATGCTGAAGAAAATTGATTTTGTTTTCCAGGAAATAATAGAGAATTTTCTGCATTTTTAAATTGTTCATTATATATGAAATAAAATTTTTCTAATTGAGGAAAACAATTTAAAATCAATTGTTCCCATCGATATCCATCAAGATAAGTAATATCATTTGATACAATTATTGTTAAAAGATTTAAATTTGAAAAAAATTTTCGAAAAAATCTTTCTGATTGATCAAATGTTGTCTCAGATAAATTTAAATAAAGTGATTTGAGATTATTCAATTCAATTGATGATATTATTTGATTTGAATTGTTTGTTTTTATTTTATGTACAGTTAAACGACGAAGTTTTGGTGTATAAGATATTAATAATTCAAGTTCATTTAAAGAACAATAATGATCAATAACAAGATATTCAATTGAACTTAATTGATTATTTCGAATCATTAAAAGTATTAATGAATGAAAATTATTTGATAAAGATATTCGAAAATATTTTAATTTAGGTAAAAGAAATATTAATCGATAAATTTCATTGATTTTTTCTGCGATATTTGATGTTTGAATTGTTAATGAAAAAAGTTGTGGTAATAATAATAAATTATTAAGAACTGGAATAATTGTATCAGATTGAATATCTTTAAAACAAATCGATTGAAGATGATCATATGATGAATCAAATAAAAATGAGGAAAAAAAAGAACTTTTATTTATTAGAAATTTAATTGATATTGAAATGATTTGATGTCGATTAGTTAACATATAGTCTTTAAACATATTCATCATTTCATCATTATTAAATAAATAAAATTGACTTTTTAATAATATAGATGAACTATGAAGAATTTCTTGAAATCGAAAATTTAGATTTGAAAATGATTCAAATAATTCATGTCCATCGAAATAATCAAATGTTTTAAAAAATATGTCATTGGATAAATCTTCAAAACAACTTATTGATGAATCTATTACAACAAAAAAATATAAATTATTTTATATTGATCAAGAAAATAACTTACTGCAAAATTTCTTTGATTTTTCTTCGAAGAAATTCTCACAAGTTAATTTTCGTTTATTTTCATTCATATTGATTTTTTAATCGAATTTTGAAGAAATTTGTTTATGATAACAATTCTTTAATTCAAATATGCTTTTATATAATGTTCAGACAAAAGAACAATAGATCGTCTAGACCAACGTCTAATTGAAAAAACACTATAGGCAGAAAAGTAAAGCAATAGATAACTTTCATTTAACCTTTATATACTAGGTTGGAAATAATATTTGGATAGGGAGGTATCGCTATAGTTTCAAATAGGATAAATAATGAATTTTATACCAAACAAAAGACCGTCAAAAATGAGGTTTATTGGTACTAAACAATAAGGGTTATGGAAACTTTCGTATGTTGAAATGTCTAAATTTAGGAAATTTCAGCATTCGAAAGGTTCCATAGCCCTTATTGTTTAGTACCAATAAACTCCATTTTTGATGGGCTTTCGTTTGGTATAAAATTCATTATTTACTCTATTTGAAACCATAGCGGTACCTTCCTATCAAAATATTATTTCCAACCTAATACAATCAAATAACTTTGCAATTGATAGAGGAGGTCAAGAACTATCTGAAACTATGATTGGTTTTGTTGGAATCGAGCTATGGGAGAATCCTTTCAGGTTTTTCCTGTTTTTTTTTAGATACTTTTTGCAGAAAGTAGCATATTTTTCCCAAAAAGGAAGGCCTGTTTGGAGAAAACAGACCCCTGGAATCGATAGAGCTTGTCGAGTTCTACCTGAAGTCGGGATGAATAAGGCTGGAATCGACCGCATAGTGAATCCATTCAGGAAATACTCGAATTTTGACTTAAGATATTCTACGTTGGAACACCCTATAAATATTATAAATCGTTCTACTTAAAAAAAATCGTTATTACTTCGTTCTAGATTATAAACAAAAAGAGGTAAGTTAGTATTCTATAAGATTACAAATTTAGATACTTCATGACTTCGCTGTACAGACGGTTCGAACACAGTATATTTACGGCACTGTATACGGTTGGTCCCGTATCACATATTCTAATTTAGTTCGAATTAATAAAATATCTCACTGGAAGCTGCTATTAGGAAACGCTGCTCTCTCTCTTTCGTGTGTTGTACTTACTTATGGTAAAGAAATGACAAGAAAAAAAAAGGTTAAAAATATCACACTTCTCTTGATTGATGTAGCAATCGAGTTACCATGAAGAATGAACCATGATAGATGGATACATTGAGATGTTTCTTTTGATTACGTCGTGTAGTGCTCGACGATAGCTGTCCATTGCCATGCAAAATGGCTCAAATGAGTGTCCAAGACTTTTGCATTAATAAAAAAAAGATTTATGCATAGCGGAAGTGTCAGAAGATTGTTCTTATAATGGAATGACTAATGAGAACATCAACAAAAAAAAGACTATTTTAGCAATAGTAGAAACAGTTGAACGAGAAGTATCGACTGTATATAGTCTCATATTTTTATTATGAATAAATCGTCATTTCGACATCAATGATTGTATTTGTGTTTCGAATTGATTTACATTCATCAATGAAAAAATTTCAATCTGATGACCTTATATTTTTATTAATCATAATAACTATGGAATTCTTTTTTTATATAGATCAATCAGTTTTTGGTCATATTTTATTTAAATAATAATTGATTATAATCACAATATTTTTGCATGAGGAAAATAGTCTTTTAAATGTTCAAGAAATTCTAATTTATTATAAAAAAAATATCATCCTAATTTTTGCACAATTGTTTCGTGTTGAATTTCTTGTAAAATTATGTGTTACTTTTTTCAGTAATCGACAATCTATATGAAAGAAAATTCTATTTGGTAAACACATTTTAGTATCAAGTAAAAATTGTTCAAGATAATCTTCGTGAGATTAAGTTCAAAAAGATGAGGATATTGAATCACTATCGACAAAGGTCGATTGTCATCTTTTGATGGTTCATAAAATTTGTTAATTTGTGGTTTCTTATTAATTAAAGTTAATTTTTTCATCAATGGAAATGATTGAGCAATTCGAAGAAAACAATTCATGTTCAAAAGGATGTTCATCAAATAATGAGATTTTACGAACACATTTAAATAATCCACCGGGAAAATTATTTGTTATCATTACCATCAATAAATATTTTTTTTTCTTGAAACTATAAGAGACAAATCAAGTTCATCTAAATCAGACATTCGATGTAGAAGTGATACAATTAATTCATCATAAGCATCTGTATTCCTATGACAGTACAACGAAAAAGATCTTAAATTGGGTAGTTTCAACTAGAAAAGAGAATAAATATTATTTCATTTGAATACATTAAATAATAATAAAAATAATTTACTTGATTATTAATTATTAAATTTGAAGATGAAATTATATTAATATTAACATAAAGTATACGAAGTTGATTAAAACGTCCATCAAATAAATAAAGACAGTCGGTAAAATGATGCAAACAAACATATAATTTTAATAGAGTTGAAGAGGAAAAAAATCGGAAATGAAATATCAAATGATAAATTTGACACCAATTTAAAGATGGACAAAAATTTTAAAATCATAGATAACTGAACGTAGTAATGATACACATAAATATATGTACATTTACATATTTTATTGAACTTTGTTGTTTATTTGCATTAATACTGATAACAAGTGATAAAATTTGATTTTTGAACGTACGAGTAAAAGGACATTCATCTAAACAATCAATAGATTTTAAAAAAAAATCATTGAGGAAAAAGTATGTATTCTTTTTGACTATTAATAAAAAAGCTTGTTAACAAAATTTCTTCGGAGCTGAAATGTAGAACATACGTATCTTCGTCAGCTTCATTATACTAATATAAAATGTATACAGTGAGGGTGTGGGTGTGGGTGTGGGTGTGTGGGTGTGGCTGTGGGTGTGTGGGTGTGGCTGTGGGTGTGTGGGTGTGGGTGTGGCTGGGTGTGGGTGTGTGATGGGGCGTGGGTGTGGGTATGGGTGTGTGGGTGTGGATGTGGATGTGGGTGTTGGGGTGGGTGTTGGTGTGAGTGTGGGCGTGGGTGTGGATATCTTCTCATCACCCACACCTACACCCCCTTCTTTATGCTCTTATGCTATTGGAAATAAGCCGATTTATTTTGCAAGATCCACTTTAACTTATCTATTTTTTTTATGAATATTCAATACGAAAAAATAATGTTTGATTCGAAGTACAGAAAGAAAAGAGTAGATGCAATAGACAAAATCAAAGTTATTCTTAAGGAATTCATAGACAAGAAGTATAGTTTTTAGAAGAGGGAACAAAAATCTAAAGTTTCAATAGACTTCCAAGAGAGATATACGACGATGGGTATACATGTGAATGTGTTCCTGGTCTTCGCTGCTATTTGCAGTCACACTCACACTCTTTATTTGAAATGTAAACAGTAGCGTACAGAGTTGCAATAAAAAAGAAAAACAAGTTTCGTTCTTTCATCGGAGAAATGGAAGTCTGTGACTACGCACATTATCTTTCTTAGATCCACACATGTCTTACATAAAATGTTGGTTACTAATAAAGATGATTTAAGATTATATTCAAGATGGCTAATTGAGTGTGAATGAAGAAAGACACATAGTCACAATCACTTAGACGACCGAAGAATAATTCATTTTTGCAACAAATACGAAAAAAGCAATGTAGACGCTATAGCTTCAAAGATCAAAAACTACATGAACATGCGATAATTATGTGTTTGTGTGCTTTCTTCTAAATAAGATTCATAGGAAAAGGATGAATAAACTTTTAGAAGTTTCGATTTTTAATTGGAACGAAAGGCTTTTCGTATTTCATGTTTTCTTGTCATCAAATTTATACATACTGTACTAGATGTACCTATCACCAAAAAGGTATCTCATCAAATTCGCCAATAAAATAATGTGTATGTCATTCTTTTAAATCTTTTACACACAGAAGCAACAGTATGTTTCTATCAGAAAAATCAACTAATCAAATACCGAATGAAAAAAAGTAACAACATCACAAGTTGTTTTATTTTTTTCCGTATCCTAGTAACTTTTTGAAAAAAGAACATGCAGTTTCTTTAAAATAGAATGTTTCTTTTTCTATTTAGTATGTGCAGCTTGTTATTCAAAATCGAAATAAAAAGAGAGAAGCTACTTTTGTTCTTTTTTTGGTTAATAAAATGAGTATGGTTTCTATACTTACTTAAATTTCATTTTAAAGAATTTAATTAAATAAAAAATGAAGTAGGTATGACGAAGTAGCGTTGCTTTTAAGTGTCCATACTTCAACTACGTCTTGTCTTGCTTGTATTAAGTGTGAACAAATCTTTCTTTTATATTTGGACTTTTTCTTTCTTTCTGTCTCTCAACTATATTTTGTAAGTGAGATCTTGATGTTGACAAGATTTCAGATAAAAGGGTTTAGTTGTTTGTGTAATTGTCCTTTTGTCTAGTAGTGACCGATAGTTCTAGAATTAGATAAAATTCAATTGATTTGTTTGTAAATTGTCAAAATATTTGAAAATTTCTGTCACTAGTTGTATGAAAATCTGTCTACGAAAAGAGTTTGAAAATAAATGAAGCATTTTGTTGAAAAATTTTATAAATTAATCTTTTGGTTTATTTTAGCAAAAACTAATTGATTCTATAAAAATAAACGAGATTAATCCAAACGATGAGGTAAATTGATTTTTATTTCTTAGGAAAACAGAAGAAGAATACGATCCATATTTGAATCTTCTCTTGAAGAACTTGCAGAACAAAATATTAAGCCTTATTATCAAAACTAAATGTGAGTCTCGACTGATTTGTCAATCAAATCAATTTTTTGTCCCATAAAACTTTCCAGATAATAATATTAAACATATTATTAAGGAAAAATTCTCTGTACTTCCCTAAAATGAATAAAAATTGTAACATATTATTTATGATTTACTGCATATATTTTATAACGATTCATTGATGTATCTTCTGTAAAAGAATTGATTATCATTTAAATAATCGATTTTCATTATGCGTTGAAGATTAACAATACTAACACATTTTATATT